AAATTTAATTTGTTAATGACAAGATTGAGTTGGAAGAAAATTGACAGCATTGTGCTGTAAAAAGTACAGGTGGTTGTTGTCTTACAACCACAATTGAGCCCAAAATTTCTGTTGCTAAAGTGAAATATTTGTTTTACCTCATTTTACAACCGTTCTTGCCACAGTTCTTAGGTGAATCACTGCAGTTGTTAAGTTAGTAACATGGTTGTTAAGCGAATCTGGCTTCCCCATTTGCTTGTAAGAAGGTGGTCAATAATGTCTTTCCATTGTTGAGATGTTCCTGCATGAAAATATCCGATCATATTAGAATTGTGCTTGCTTTAATGGTCCCAGGATACTGCAACCCTCATAAATACATTTCAGTTGCCAAGCATCCCGATTTTGATCACATAACCATGGGGATCCTGCAACGGTCGTCAGTTTAAAAAAATGGTCATAAGTCACTTTTTTCAGTACCGTTGTAACTTCAAATCATCATTAAATGAACTGTTGTAAACTGAGGGCTACCTATACTGTTCAGGTACAGAGTCCATAGCAGTAACTTGGGAAGACCTCTAGATTTACCCCATGGAAATCAGTCCATTGAGAGAGAGAGAGCCTTCTTCATAGATGAGAGAAGTGGAGTGGGGAATGGGAGATGCAAGGAGCGAGGTCAGAATTCAGCACATATCTAGGATGAATTCATGGCTCAAGTAACATATGGAGGGGTCAATATATAACACAACAACAGAGATAACATCAGGATTGGGATAGAGGGCTGTAAAACAAAAGCAACAAAATGAACGTTCAAAATAGAAAATTGGATTGAAAAGGAAGATTAATAATTTACAAATGAATATTAGCAATTTGAATAATTTGCAGGCAACAATATGAAAATGCTTACCAAAATAATATAACCTAAGGGACTCAGAAGAATTTTAAAAAACACTTGAGTCATAGCTATTTTGAACAAATTGAAAGATATGAAGATGGAAAAAAACCAATTCGACAAAATCAGCAGTTTTTTTAAAAAAGCATTTGTTTTATGAAACAAATGGAACATTGTTGGAACATATTACAAACATGGACTTTACCCTGATAAAGATAAAATATTAAAATTTTGGAGTGTTATCTAGGATAACCAATAATAAAGATCAACATGGATAATGGAGATTGAGAAATGCATTAGATCAGTAAAAATAGATAATGTGGTCATAACATAAAAAATGATTAAAAAGCAAACAAAATATATTAAATAGAGTGCATCAGGAAATGAATTACATGGATTTTGGCTTAAACATCTGATGACTTTCCATGAAAGATTGGCTACTTGGTTTAATGAAATATTGCAGACTGAAAGCATTGAAGAATGGATAACAATTGGTACAGCATTTTAATAAAATGTTACAAGTAGGGTCATCAACAGTCAACTTTTCTACTTGTAAATTAGCAACAAAAGTTAATTGCCAAAATTGATAAGGAACAAAAGATCAAAATATCCTACAGTAAAAGGCTCCACTTACAGTATCACACATTTCAAACCTCTTTCTTTTATGCTTTGACCAGTAGGTGGTGACACTTTGTTTTGAAATCCTGAATGGATTATTTAAGAATGATCTCTAGCTCTCTCTCTCTCTCTCTCTCTCTCTCTCTCTCTCTCTCTCTCTCTC